CCCTACCACCGATTGTTACTGGATTTCCTTCAAACATATGTCACCCAAAGACTACAGTCCTTTCAACCACCATTGCTCGACTACAATCTTTTTTAACTACATTGATGATCGACTACGATCCTTCCGACCATTTCACCCGACTAAGGTCTTTCCAACCTCCTTCCGATCACTGTCACCAAATTAGCCTTTCCAACCTCCGTCACCCACCAACTACGATCCTGCCGACCATTGTCACTCAACTATAGTCTTTCTGACCTCCATCTCCCATGAACTATGGTCTTTCTGATCACCGCAGCCCAATTATGATCTTTCTGACCTCCATCTCCCACCGACGATTGTCTTTTCAACCAACATCTCCATACCACGGTCACCCTGACCAGGGTCACCCGACTACGGTCATTTTCACCACTGTCACATGACTATGGTCTTTCTGACCTCCATCGCCCATCAACTATAGTTTTTCTAACCACTGTTGTCCGAATAAGGTCCTTCCGGCCTGTGTTGCTTGTTGATTACGATCCTTTCCAACAATCGACTATGGTCTTTTCGACCTCTGTAACCCGCCGACTATAGTCCTTATGATAATCAACTATGATATTTTCGACCTTCATCGCCCACTAACTATGGTCTTTCCGACCACCTTCATCCGACTACGATCTTTTCAACCTCTGTCATCTACCAACTACGTTCCTTTAAACCATCGTCACTCGACTACAGTTTTTCTGACCTCCATCGCCCGCCAATTATGGCCTTCTAACCACCATGATCCAATGATGGCTCTTTCAAACACTATCGGTGGACTATGCTCTTTTTGACCTCCATCGCCAACCAATTAAGGTCTTTCCATTCATTGACACCCAAATATGGTCTTTTCGACCTGTATTGTCAGCCGCCTATGGTCCTTCCGACCACCATCATCTGACTACAATCTACCACCATCACCAGACTAGCATCCTTCTGATCACTATCACCCGATTATGATCTTTTCGTCCTCCGTCGCCTGTTGAAAACGGTCCTCCTGAACACCGTGACCCGACTACGATCTTTTTAACATCCATTCTGCCAACTACAATCCTTCTGATCACTTTCATCCTATTAGAATTTTTTACCACCATCATCTAAGTATGATCATTCCAATCATCATCGCCCGACTATGGTCTTTTCGACCTCTATCGCCCGCCGACTATGGTCCTTCCAACCACCGTCATCTGATTATAGTACTTCAGATCACCGTCACACAACTACTATCTTTCTGACCATTATTGATCCCTGACTACATTTTTTCGATCATTGTCACCAAACTATGATATTTTCAACCTCCGTCACCCACCAACGATGGTCTTTTCAGCCATCATTGCCCAACTACAATATTTTTTACCTCTGTTGCCAACCGACTATGATCCTTTCAACCATTTTCATCAGACTAAGATCTACTCGACCTATGTCGCCCTCCGACTAAGGTCCTTCCCAATCACCATTATTCGGTTATAGTCCTTCCAACCACTATCGTCTGACTACGGTCTTTTTGACCTCCGTCTCTCTTCGACTACTGTCCTTTTGACCACCGTCACCAGACTACAGTCTTTCTGACCTCCGTCGCCTGTCGACTAGAGTCCTTCCAACCTTGGCCGTTTGCCGACTATGGTCCTTCCGACCACCGATACCCGACTATAGTCTTATCGACCTTCTTCACCCGCCAACAACGATCCTTTAAACCAACATCGATTAACTACATTATTTCCGACCTCCATCACCCGACTACGATCCTTCTAAATTACATCGCTAGTCGACTATTGTCCTACTGACCAAAAAAGCATGTCAGCACTAGTGGATTCATTCAAATTGGAAGGACATGTGATTTTTTCCCCTTTTCAAGGGTTTTCACGTAAAAACTCTGGTGTCTCTTATGAATACTACACCCATCTTTTTTATTTAATTGTGTGCTGGAACTTCGTACAAAGCTAAGACGTTAAACTTTATATTTCTCTATCACCATGAACATTTTAGGATGCAACACCCAATAAGGATTTTAGAAAGAAGATGTTCAGAGGAGAACATATATACCCAATAGTAAACTTAAATCTTGTTAGATTATGGAGATGGTAATGATTTCTAATGTCAATCGTCGGTGGCGATGGTCGCTGTCGGCGGCAATTTGAACTGGAATTCAAAACACTTAATCCTACACTCTATATTGATTTCTTTGATCATGAAATATTTATTTAGCATTTAAGTGACTTAATGATATTAGAATTGAGTTATCTTTGGCTCGTTGGATTTGTCCCATCGAGACACTCGATTTGACTATAAGCATGTCTAATTTGAAAATTATTTGGTGATCAAATAAATGTTGTGAAGCTTCCAAACATGGGCGGAGGGAGGGGGGGCAAGGGGGGGCACGTGCCCCCCCTAAAAAAATTGATTTTTTTTTAATCTCAATACAAAATTAAGTTGATAACTTCAAAAATTAATTAGAGACCATATGAACTCCGATTTTAGTAAACTTACAGTCGAACTGAACGTCTCAAAAACACAAACCTAACGACACCAAATTCAACTCAATCCGAACCCAAATGACTCCAAATCAAAGACCCGAAGCATATTTGGAAGGTTCAAACCATAACTTGGATTACCAAATGGTTTCCAAACATAACATGCTTATAGTCGAATCGAGCGGCTAGACAAGACGAATCCAACGAGCCCAAGATCGTCAAATTATGATATCACTAAGACATTTAAATGCCCAATAAACAGTCCACGATCAAGAAATTTAACATCGGTCATCCATTCAAATCACTCCCAATTTAATTTCCTATTCATTTACATTTTTTTTCTTGATTGATATTAGCTTAATCCTATATTGATTCGATCTTAAAGAGATTTTATGATTTTTTTTTTTTTGAAATGAGATTTTTAATATCACGTATTTAGTTAATATATTAAACATGTTCTAGTAGAAATCGTGTGATTTGATGATCGAAGTCATTTTGTGAAGGAAAAAAATAAACTAATTCACTAACAAAGTTTTATCATTTTTAATATTGATTATATTGGTCCTAAGTCTGGATGTAAAAAATTGAAGAAAAATAATAATATAATAAAAAAAATTAGGCCCCCCTAGATATATTTTCTGGCTCCGCCACTGCTTCCAAATATGCTTTAAGCCCTAGCTTAATTTGAGCCCATTTGGACATGGATTAGTTGATTTTGGTGTCGCTCCAAATTTAATTTTGAAAGTTTCTAATTCAATTATGTCTCGAGATTCGTACCTGATCAAGATAAATTTTGTGACATCAAAAATTGAATTTTTTCATGTGTTAATGAAATATCAAATATACTTTCATTTTAACAGTAATTAACAAAAGTGTTTTATTGATAAGAGCTAAAAGGGGTTTCATTAATAAGCACTAAAAAATAAGATGCTATATTGATAATTATTAAAAACTTAACGATTTACTAATAAATATTAATATTAAAGGTAATATATCAATTGCAAATTCAAATTTTTTTAAACTAATCAAAAAGAGGAAAATTAAATTGCAATCAAAACTGTATTCGGAGAGTAAATCATTCAAAATTATAAATAATTTTCTGTGAAACTCTCAAAAGAAGATTAAATTTCAAATTAAAATTGTATATAAAATTTTAGATAGCACAATTCAAGGTGTTTCAATTGAGGAACTTTTATTTGGTCCGGTGACCGGACGTAGAGCTACGTTCGGCCGGCCCTGAGATCACGCCACGTAGCATGCACAAAATCACGTATTTGTCGATTTTGCTCGGCAATAACGAGAAATATCATTATGTGAAGACAAATACCGAACAATATCGAGCAATACCAAGTAATACAGAGCAATACCGAGTTTTTTTTAACTCGGTATTGCTCGGTATTACTCGGTATTGGTCTTCACGGAGCGGTGTTTCTCGTTATTGTCAAGCAATACCTACCAATACCGAGCAAATACCCAGTAACTCAGTGGTGACCGCACGTAGAGCTACGTCCGGTCACCGGACGTAATAATTGTTCTGAGAACTTCTGACTACGGTTGTGAAAACTGTTTAACGTGTTAGTTTTGAATGCCACTGTAAATTAATTTGATCTGAATCTAATAAATCATAACTTAACCCATAAAATAAATGTGTCAAAAAGTTGGATCCAAACATAGAACAAATTGCAACCCAGATGGCCTAAACTCGATCTGATTATACATTTTATTAAAACTTCTTATAATTTGTTAATTATAAAATTTATATTAATTGATTAATAATTAAAAATAAAGCAATAAGCAAAAAATTTAAGAAAAAATAATATAATTACTTTTGTGTCAAAATTAAATTTGTTGGTCAACTTAAGCCTGATCAAGATCTATTTATTATAAATGAGTCAATTCGAACTCAAATTTTTAAATTGGGTCCAAATCGAATAATTTGGTCTACTTGACTTGACACCTCCTATTTCTAGTCTAGACTTCAGCCTCTATGCTCTTTATTTTAATTTATTTTATTTTATTATATAAATCATTTTTAAATTAAATGCCGTACTCAAAACTTCTATGAAAAAATCAAAGCCAAACCTCTCCTCAAGCTTAGTAGATGTCACGTGCATGGCTACCTTAACCTTCACTATTATTTTAATTTATCATTTCAAGATTAGTGCTCTAATATTCATCAACTAAGTTGATTTTTATTTTTATCATTATCTTAATTTATCTTCACACTTTTAAACCTCTGCTCTCTATATTTGAATACTTGAAATTTAAAATAATAATTCTTTTTTTTTTTTCAATTTCAATCTTATCTAAATACTTAAAAATAAAACTTTAATCATTTAAATATGAAAATGATTGAAATATCTCTCATATATATATATGTACTTCAATAATTAATATTTTATTTAAGACGATTTTTTATTACTTTTTAAAGTATTTTTTAATTAAATAAATTAAAATTTTATTTTGTATAAAAAAAAATTTTGTCCGAACTCTAGTGTTCAACACAACTTATTCTTCTTCGACGGCCATATGATTTGGAGTAAGACAAATCTAACACGTTGTAGAAGAACGTCTGTATCATCGTCAACAAGTAGAGGTTATAAAAGTAGTTGGAATGCGAGAGGAAGTTATCGTGCTATAGCAGCAAGCTTTCTGATTCAGACTTCTTCTGTTCAGCTCAGTTAAGGAAGAAGGGTGACCTGAGCGAAAGGTATTCGACCTTTTGCTCCTTAAAGGAATTTGGTTCTGCTTCGCATCTTAGAGTTGAAATGAAGGTCAGTGTGACTACACGCAATGGCAAGGAGCTCGTCAAGGGGGGTGTGGAGCTCGATTCGTCAGTAAGATTGTTGCATCTTCTTCTTCTTCTTCTTCTTCTTCTTCTAGGAGAAAATATATGTTCTGTATGCTTTTTTTATTTGTTGTTCAAGTATCTGAATCTAAAAGTGGCATATTTGGTTACAGGCAATGGTGAGCGATCTGCAGCAGGCAATTTACTCACGTAGTAAGTGATGCAACTTGTCTTTTGATTGTTGTTCTTATGAAGTTATGCTCCCCTTTATAAATGTTTAGTTTCTATTGGAATAAGAAGAGAAAATAATAAAATTTAGAAGATAAATGATTAAAACTAGAAGATATTTAAATACAAATGAAAAAGATTTTTCTTTTAATTAAAAACCTGTAATTGTACTGTGCTTTTTTTAGAAAAAAAAAAAATCTTTATTTTTTTATTTTGTTTCAGTATATGATGTAGTTTTCCTCCAAGAAACTATGACAAACTAGCCAACTTTGATATGACTTATCCTGGTTTGATTTGGCTTGGTTGGAAATCAAATGAATAATGAAATTTCTGTGATGGAGTATTTCTTATGGCAAAAATAATATAGAACATATTCTTTACTATATATTTATAATCAATTTTTTAAAAATCAGATCGGACCGGGCGGTGTAATTGGTGGGACCATGACTTTGTCTTCTTGCCAATGTAATAGAACAAAAAAAGTTAGAGGAACTGATGGTTGTCCATTGCCTATTTTAGAGAATCAGATAGTTTATTTTGATAGTTTAAAATATTTTCAAAATCAAAGACTTATTATAATACAGATGTGATTCATTCACGTTTTGATTCCCTAATCATGATTGTTCTTCGAGAGTAAAAAAAAAAAAAATTGTCTCATCGTTTATTATATGGTGCAGCTACGAAGTTCTATCCTGCTCGGCAACGGCTTACCCTCCCTTCAAAATTTGGAGTTGATGGAAAACCAGTTATCCTCAATCCGAAAAAGAAACTTATAGATTACACAGATGGAAATGAAAATTTGATAACTGTAGTGTTCAAGGATTTGGGACCTCAGGTGTCCTACAGGACCCTCTTCTTCTGGGAATACTTAGGCCCCCTACTCATATACCCAATCTTCTACTTCTTCCCAGTCTACAAGTACCTTGGTTACGAGGAATGGAAAGAAAAGCATCTCGTTCAGACCTACGCCTTGTATTACTGGTCCTTCCACTACTTCAAACGCATCATGGAGACTTTCTTTGTTCATAGATTCAGCCATGCTACCTCACCAATCTCCAATGTCTACAGAAACTGTTCTTACTACTGGACTTTTGCTGCTTGCATTGCTTACAATGTGAACCACCCACTTTACTCTCCTGTTAGTGAACTGCAATGGAAGATTGGTTTTACTTTTGGCTTAATTTGCCAATTCTCAAACTTATATTGCCACATTATTCTGAAACAACTGAGAAGTTCTGATGGTGTTGGAGGTTATCAAATACCTCAGGGATTCTTGTTCAACATTGCGACTTGTGCAAACTACACAACAGAGATCTATCAATGGCTTGGTTTCAACATTGCAACACAAACATTAGCCGGTTATTTGTTTCTTACTGTTGGTTCTTATTTCATGTATAACTGGTCTATCGCAAAGCACCGGAGACTGAACAAGGTGAGCTTCACTCTTTTATTTTGATTAATATTTTACAAGTGCTCGAATTAATTTGTTCCTGATTTTGAATACTGATATTCTGCTTGCAGTTGTTTGATGGTAAAGATGGAAGGCCAAAATATCCCAAACGATGGGTGTTTCTTCCTCCATTTTTCTGAAGAGTTCAAGTCCTTCATGTTGGCTAATATATTTGCTTTGTCAGTTCCATCTGGAATAAATTCTGACTTTTGGGATATTGTAGAAGCTTATATGTTTTTTTTTTTTTTTTCCCTATTATGTACCTTTACGCTTGGACTTAATGTAAGATATCTGAATAAAAGTCTGTTTTTCCTTGTATTTCTTTTGGGCTTTCTCTGTGATCTATCAAGTTCTGGAAGTAAAGCAACTTTTTATAACACCTTAAGAAGATTTGAGGGAATTAACATTAAAGAGTTAAATATACAAGCAAGATAACAAATAAACTAATTTGATGGAAAAATTAGAATCTATGCAAAGAAATCTTTAGTTATCAAAACTAAATGCAAACTTTGATGTATGCTAAATCAAAGCCATACAAGTAAATGACTGTAAGCAGCAAAGCCCACCAAGTATTGCCAAACTTCTTAGGATCACAATCTAAGACTGGTGGAATTCAATACCAATTTGTTAGGAAAGAAAAAGCTACAAATAGATGGAAATATGTTTGATCATTACTGTTGTCTTTACTTCAGTGTTACTTATTTTCAGAATCATAAAGAGTGAAATATTGAAAAGAAACATTGGAAGTAAGCCTAAAGAAAAAGCTTGAACAGAGTTCTTTTACAGCTTTTTTATTTCCATGACCATAGATGGAAACTTCACTTTGCAATGCCCTGCCTTCCTCTATCTGTCTTCTTTCTCTTCTGCAGACATCTGATTTCCTTAAACTTCACTTTTTTTTTTTGGAAAAATACTTTTTTTAATTGTTATAATCATTAGGGGTTTCCACATAAAAACTCTAGTGTCTAGTACGAATGCAACACCCTCTGTTTTATCTGTATGCATGCTGGATCTTCGTACAAAATTAAGACGTTAAATTTTATATTTCTCTACCGCTGCGAATATTTCAGGACACAACAAAAGTATTATAATACTCTACAACATAAAATTATAAAAAAATTATCTCAAATGTACTTTAAAGTAAATTATGTCTTTGCTTTACATAAATGACATGAATAAGTAAATAAATGACCTTTATTAACTAAATAATGGTCATGAATCATGTAAAATGGGACCAAAGCATGATGGTTTTCATTGATAACTCGAGGGGGGCTTTGCTGTATCTTTATAGAACAACATAAGTCTACTCATTAAGTTCTAACATGTTTTAATGTGTTTACATCATTATAAAAGACCTGCATGCCCATGCTTCTATCCTCACATTACTCCATGATTTTGCTCTCTTGTTATCCATCATCATCATGATCCTTAATGACCTTTAATCATCTCTTGACATCCCAATAAATCTCTCTTTAACTTATTATCATTAAGACTTCATTTTGAGATGACTTTCTTACTGCTTTTTAATTAAATTTTTTAGTAAAAAATTTAAAATTTTGTACTTAAAAATTATTTTAAAAAGCAGTAAAAAAGTAGTTTCAAACGAACTTTCGTACTGCCTTCTAAAACGGCTTTATAGTACAAAATTTTCAAATTCAAAAATTTTGTGTACAAGAAAACGGTTTTGAAAAGCAAAAAGAAAACTGTCTCAAATGAAGCCTAAGCTTTGTTACCTTTTTGTGGGCCATTAATCCATTTATGTGCTTTGTTCGCCTGATACTTTGGCATGCTTCATGATGTTCCTCATCAGTTATATTTCTTTTTGTTTGGAATGCAGGCGTCATGATCAGTAGGAGAAGGGAGCTGGGAAGGAACTTTCTCTGGTAAAAGTTTCTTTTGTGGATCTGAACTTGAAGATGAGATTTGTCGACAGAATAATAGCGTTTATGTACTGGTGACTTAAAAGGTGCTCCCTTGTTAAAATCAGTCAAAATGTTACAATTAAATTTTATTTAGAATGATTTTTTTATTACTTCTTAAAATAATTTATTCGCATAAAAAATAAAATTTTTATACTGAAAAATTGTTTTAAGAAGTAATAAAAAAGCCATCCCAACTGAAATATTAACCTAATAATTTTAAATAAACCACATTTTAACTAAATGATAAAACCGGAATACTCTTAAATTTTATCGTGTATTTTTTTTTTACTTTCAACTAAACATTAATGATATATTATCAAAAATCAAGTTGGAAACTTCAAGAATTAAACTTGGGACCATCTGAACTCTGATTTTAGCAAACTTACAGTCAAACTGATCATCTCGGAAATACAAACCCAACGACACCAAATCCGACTCAATCCGAGTCCAAATGGATCTAATCAAAGGCCTGAAGCACATTCGGAAGGTTCAATCCATAATTTGGATTACCAAACGGCTTGCAAATATAACATGCTTATATTCGAATCGAACGGCTCGGCGAGACGAATCCAACAAGCCCAAGATCGCCGAATTCCGATATCATTAAGACCTTCAAATGTCTAACAAATGGTCCACAACCAAGGGATTCAATATCGACAGTCCATCCGAACCACTCCACCTTTGTCCTTGATCCTCCTATTTACGGGTCATGTCATCCTCAAAAATCTATAAATAGCCCATCATTTCTCTTGAGAAAGAGGAAGGAGGAGAGCCAAAGTAAGGCGAAAGCAAGGGGAAGCAAGAGAAGAGAAGAATGATAGGAGGGAAGAACTCCTCGACCACCGTCGCCGGAATTATGTCCAAGTAATGCCGTAATTCCGCCCAACCTCCAAGTGACGCCAGAATTCCGTCCGACCTCCAAGTGACGCCGGAGTTATGCCTGAATACCATATAAAGTTAGAATTCTCCTCGGCCTCCAACTAGCGTCAAATTTTTACCCGATGTCGGACCTCCGTTCGTCTCCAAATTTCTACCTGACGCTGGACTTCTGCCAATTGTAGGACATTAACCAGACATCTATCTGATGTTGGATTTCTGTCCATTGATGGTCTTCTACTAGACGCTGTCTTTCTGAACTTCGTCGTCAGACAACGGTTCTTCCGACCTAAGTCGCTCGCCGACTATGGTCCTTCAGACTTATGTCGCCCACCGACTACAGTCTTCCAACCTCAGTCGCCCGCTGACTATGGTCCTTCAGACTTATGTCGCCCACTGACTACAGTCCTTCCGACCTCCGTCGCCCGCCGACTACGGTTCTTCAGACTTACGTCATCCGCCAACTACAATTCTTCCAACCTTTGTCGCCCACCGACTACGATCCTTCAGACTTACATCACCCGTCGACTACGGTCCTTCCGACCTCTGCCGCCCGCCAACTACAGTCCTTCCGACTTACGTTGCACACCGACTACAGTCCTTCATACCAAACAAATACATAAACAATTATGCTTTGTATTATCACCATGTAATGTACTCTATAAGATGCACATCAAGCTAAGGCCTTCCCCTGAGGAAGGACCTCCTTTGTAATCAACTATAATACTAGTGGATTCATTCATACTAGGCCAGGCCCCGTGATTTTTCCCCCTTTTCAGGAGTTTTCCACGTAAAAATCTTGGTGTCTTATAAATGTTACACACCCTCTCTCTTATTTGATTGTGTTCCAAATTTTTGTACAATGCTAAGACTTAAAAGTTTATATTTCTCTACCGTCGCGAATACTCCAGGACGCAACAATTACTATATTCAAAATCCTTGTATTTAAAATATTTGCGCTCATTTTATTTCAAATCAAATAAAGAACAAAAAATAAATAAATAATATTAAAAAAAAAAAGACAAAATGGTAATTTTGTGTCAAAATGTCCTGTGAACACCTAGTCATTGTATTCTTTTGATGCAGATTTATCCTTTAAGTAATTTATAAAGGTATTATAACAAATACTTATTAGATTGAAGGCAAAAACAAAACTGAAATTTTAGAGACCTCTGTTTTCTTCTTCTTTTTTTCTTATTTAGATTTTGCAAACGAGTACACATAAAATTTATCATAAATTCTGCACTTAAGTAATCAGCAGAGACAATAATGATCTAAATAGGAAATGATGTCAACATGTTGGTGGGCGTATTATGCCCTAAAATTTTTATGATAACACAGTCAGGGAAACAAAGAAAGCAGTGGGCAGGAAATGATGCGCATGCTTGGTAAGACTTCGTAGCTTTCATGCTTTTTAAAACGAATTTCTAGTACAAAAATTTCAAATTTAATAAATTTTTAACTAGAAAGCTATTTTAAAAAGCAAAAAAAAAAAGCAGTCCTCATTTGGAATGATTTTCTTACTGTTTTTAAAGCGGCTTTCTTTTGTACTAAAAATTTACTTTTAGAAACAGAAAGAAAACCGTCTCAAACGTAGTCTAAAACCTGTAATTTAGGGAGGATGCCTTACAAAATTAAAAATAGAACAGAATCTAGTTTTGTTCAGTAAGTCTACTGATATTGATATAAAATCCTCTCGAGATATAAAGCTAACCACACATGTTTTACGGTTAGCTTTCCTGGTAAACAAATTCATTTTGATTCGCAAACACTGAATCCTGACCATCCAGACTTACTCGAATGACCAGAATGGCTAATTGCACTTAGTGCAATCAGACAATTTACTTACAGCACAGGTGTTAAATCTGACGCTGAAACCTAAAAATTGTGATTGAGAAATGCCAGAGCTCTTAAATTCATTAATAAGCCTTTTCTGCGTTGGAGGGATGATATGGAAATTCATCTCACTGTCGAAGTACCAGTCCCCACCAAACTCTGCATTGATCTCCTCTAGCAGAGAAGGGTAGTGGTACTTAGATCCCTGAAATTTTATGTACTTCAAAGCTAAAGGCAAAGCCGACAATGCCTAACAGTGTAAAGTTACTGAACAAAACCATCGCTGAGGGATTCAGGGAGGATATATAACAGTGTAAACTCTTAATTATTGATATATTGTTTGTTTTGGCCTAACAGCCTCTCAGTTTTGTCATGTTGATGTAACTTCTCAGGAGGTCACCCATCCCAAGATTTTTCCAGGAAGAGCACACTTAATTGTACAATTTCTTAATGAATTTCCGACCATTACATCAAAATGCGCCTCGATGTTTAAGAATTTAGCTTCTTTGTATTTAAGGTGTTTCACAATTTCCTCCAGTTAAATAACTGACGTCATCGTCAGTATCTTTATCCTAGAATCATCCACCAGTCAGATAAGATTCTAGAGATAGCCCCTATAAGTTCAAATGGTGACTCTCGCACATAACACTTTGTCCCATACAGGTTTCAAGAGGTGGCTCCTATAGTGTAGCACTTCGTCTTGTATGACACTTAGTTCACATTACAGGATTGCTTCTCCTATATTACTCTGTCAATTTCCAAAGGGTTGCAATCCTGTCAGAGTTCGGAGGAGGGAATGCCTCTCGGCCTTGAAGAGCAAATGCCTTTTAGGGCCTTAGTACAGCAAATGTTATTCGGCCTTGGCAGCTCAAATGTCTTCATGCCAAGTCTTGCAACTCAAATCAACAACAACAACATCAAGCCTTTGTCCCATTGTGGGGTCGGCTATATGAATATTTTTTTCTCCATTGTGTCCAGTTAAAAGTCAAATTCTCATTTAAATCTAATATAGAAATATCATTTCTAATATTTTCTAACAAAGTATTTTTATTTCTACCTCTATCTTTCTTAACATAAGTCAAATCTAATACATCTACTTTCCTAACATGGTCATCAGAAGGCGCCGTTTTATGTGACCAAACCATCTAAGTCGACTCTCTCTAATCTTATCTTCCACTAGAGCTACTCCAACCTTTTCACGTTTATGCTCATTTCGTATCCTATCTCTAAGGGTAAAGCCACCCATCCACCTGAGCATCCTCATCTCTGCAACACTTAACTTAGGCCAAGTTCTGCAACTCAAATCAATAGATCATAATCGAAAAGCTTACAAAGGTACACAGCTGCTGGAGAGAACGAGTAATACACCTTAAATAGCACAAATGCTTCAGCTAACAACCATAAATAGCTTAAAAGTTACAACCAACCATCATAAATGTTACAACAAACCATAAAATAGCTAAACTTCGACAACTACCCACCATAAATATCATAACGCAGCACATGAACTTCATCAGTACCCAACAGTACTTAGCAGTACCCAGCGGTACCCCGAGGAACTTAGCAAAGGTGACAATAGCAAAAAATGAAATTTTACAATGAATTTACAATGAATATTACGATACACAATGTAATTTTACAATAATTTTTTGAAATATATAATGAATTTTTGTAGTACAAATTATAATTTCAAATTAAAAAAATTACACATCATCCATGTTTCTCTGATTCAATTATTCCCGTCATCATTCTTATATATTGAGGTGTCAGCTGGCTAGTTAATAAATGGAGAATGTACTCATCTGTAAAGCATTATGATTTGTTTGTGAACTTTACCTGACTAACTAGTTCTTTAGTTGCACACTATTTTGTTGTAGGAGTGGCCTGATCTGCAGCTTTCATTTTCTTATATTTTTTCCTCTCTCAGTGACTCTTCAATCTTACATTAGAGATGTCTTTAGGCCTGCACTTGAGTGGGGCTTTCATCTTTTAAACCCACCACCTACTCTGTTTCCAACAAACTTGTCATTATTTTTCTTTCCATCCAGGATCAAGTTGACATTTTTAGCCATGTCAATCATTGCAGCCAACATATACTGTTTTGCTTCCTCATTCCCGTGTGCTCATATGCTAATTTGATATGCAAATCTGCTAAGATGATTTTTGAATATCATACAAATTAATTCATCCTGAGATGGGTTCGCCTTCTTTCCCATACTAGTGAACGTCCGAGCAGCATAAATATCTTTCTTAGCTCTGGCTTATCATCTCAACAATATGTATTTCGAAGGAATATTAACTACATCTAACTGTCTTCTCACAGCTGCATTAAATGGTACACTCTTTTGCATCAAAATAAACAGTCCAATAGTTCAACTGATCAATCTTCTCAATGCTTTTGACGAAAAAACGTAGATGAGTCACTTGACGCTTGATCTATACACATTCCACCCACACCCCGTAAAAACTCTTCTTCAAAAAAAATGTATGCAATTTTCTTGAATAAAATCGGGCAGCTTGCTTTAGTATTAGGCCACTTTTTATTAAAGGTACTATCTCAGACTAGCTGCATATGAATTCTTCATCATGTTCATTCCGACACAAAGTCATCATCATCTTCTCTAAATCTAGAAAACAATCAGTTATAGAACTAGTTAGCTTGGAAATGTCATGACACACATTATTAGTGGACTTGCTACGTTGTGTTGAAAGAATGTCAAAATTAAAATAATTATTATTGAATGATGTTGACCACTTGTTCCTGATTCTATAAAGCTCCTTCAACCAATCATGGCTATGGAGGTCCCCTTCAGTAATCATTTCAGCTCAGTTTCTCTCAAACTCCTCAGAATCACACTTTCGTAAGGCATATGATTTTATTGTTGTTATTGAAGCAACACACCTTGGATGAAGGCTTCTTGTTAATGTGCCATTGGCACATCCTATGTCATATCTGAGGTAATGCAATTTCTGTTGCCCTAACCATTGCATGGTCCTGATTAGTAAATATTGTTATGAGATGTTTATCACTCATTATTTGTAAAAATGTTCTAAATAATCAGGTAACGATTCAATTGTCCCATTCGATAAAAATGACATCCCTAATAAAATATTTTGTCAATAATTATTAACTCCAACAAAGGGTGTACAAGCTAAATTATTTTTGTTAAGCCTATAGCTAGTATAAAAAATTATCAAGCATTCATAATATATTCTCCCCAATCCATCAACCTAAAAAAAATTCAACAATCAATCATCCTCATCAGTTTGGATGTCCCATGTAAATAAGTTTTCATCAACTAGTCATCATTAAATAGTTTAATTAGGAAATTAGTGTCCTCATTCTCAATATTCACTCTTTTCTCTTTCTGAATATAATTATATGTATCCTTTTAAAAGAATCCAACATTTTCTACACCTCCTACTTCATCGGCTAGGTAGGTAAATACATCAATGATCCTTATCCCAATTTTTGTCATTGATTTAAGAAATGATGTTTTCTCAATACTAATATTTTTATATGATCTAAGTAGATGTTGACTTTCCGGCCTAGCTAATTTGTAATTGTCGCTCTACACATTTTTGCACCGTCCAGACTCCATCTTCATCCATTGAAAATCTAATCATAACAGGATACTCGATTCTGGTATTTAATTTTCGATATTTTGATTAGGAATTTAAGTCAACACCCTTTTTAAATCTAACTTTCAAACAGACAAAGTCATTCGATCTTATTTTTTTGAATTGTGTCAGTAATTGCGATGTTCTTTGTGAACACTAAAACTAGGATTATGAGCATAATGATAATATATATTATATGCTTCATTCTCAGAGTTATAAACATCATGTGCACAAAAAAAATATTTTTAACATTCTGATATAAACATGGCAGTACACAAAAATCAGCAGTACACATCAGTACACGGCAGAGGTACACGGGTACACAACAACGGTATACAAAGGTACACAGAGATACAAAGATGCGACACACAGAAGCATAACGCATATGTACACAAAAGAGGTACACAGAGGTACACACAAGTGGTAATACACAACAGTAATACATATCAAATTATGTCTTTATCTAAAATTGCACATAGAATCCAAACTTGCAACTAAGAATGTGCAGAGTAATATAAATTTGAAGGAGCAAAACAAATTAGAACAATACACCCTAAACCATTAAAATATCTATATTTTCAAATGAAAAATAGTAAAACCTCTTCAGAGTTTAAAATTTACCGATAATATCCCTGACTTATATCCCGTAGTTTGCTGCAGTAAATCTTCATGGACGTTTTGCGTCTCTTGCATAATGTCTTACATCTCCTCGCAATATTTGACATCCTCCAAACCGGTTTCTATCTATCTTCAGTCTCTTCCTCACTTATCTTTTTCAGCTCTCTTCTAAGAAAATATCCTATCTCAGGTGACGAATATCATAAACACTAAAAAATGGAGCGTTTCTTTTCAATTTCGCGTGGTCCCGGCCAGGTCGTCGGGAAAGCACAGGCGGCACTTTATTGGAGTCCACATGTAAAGCTATATCCAGAGTCCACATCGAATAATGTTTTCCTCATAGAAGTTTGATTAGTACGACTATTAAACGTATATTATGATTTTCACTTTAAATTTTAAAATGAAAAATATGATTTATTTTATTAATATTAAAACTTTAAATTTATTTCTATTGAAATTCATTTTTAACTGGCCAAAATGTAGATTAATTTGGATAAAATTTTTCATTATTTTTAAAAGAAATGAAAAATAAAAATGATATTGAATGCGTGAATGTAATAGTTGAGTTTGGAATGATATTTTTCTTTTATTTGAATCATTGTGTCTACAGTACAAATTTTTTAAAAAAATAATTACATATTTTTCAATAATTTTTATGTATTTATTTCTCTATTACTGTTATATTTATTTTTATATATCTGACAGTACAGTATACAACTTTGAACAACATAAACAATATTTTCTTTTTAAGAATGTTGAAAATCAAATCATAAATTTGATATTGGCCACATTTAATTTGACAATAATTTTTTAAATATTCACCAACTAGAATAATTAGCATCCATACAAAACAAAAACAAAAATTCTATTTGCAATGTAACTGGTACTTAATGTTGATTTTAAAAATAATAAGAAAATTGTTCCAAACAAAACCTAAATGTTGCTTTCTTCATGTAAATTATAGCAAGAAAGAGTGGCAAAAGCGCATTACCTAAAAGTTTTCAATAAGACCTGCTTCAGATGAATTCCAAATTAAAGCATGTGGGATTGCAAGGATATGGGCAATCAATTTCCATCACCACTCCTCTTTCGAAGTACCAGTCTCCAACTGCCTCAGCGATAGTCTGCTTAGCCAAAGAGAAGAAAAAACTCTGGTTTACTACATGTTTATGAGAAAAGAAAACAAAATGTCATCTTGAAGCAACAACTAATCAGGGGGTATCGGTCATCCTCTCAACTAACTATCAGTATTAAGACCTGCAGTTGTGATTGCTTACAGTCTACAGTAGCATAGGAAACTTCATTTCTTATTGAATTTTGAAGGACTTGAAAAAATAAGCTAGTGGAGTTCGACATCCTCCTCAAGAAGATAACCACTATAAGGCATAGACAAATGGGCACTTACTAACTGCATCGACAAGAAAATTCGTAGGAGAGAAATCATCGCAAAAACGAATCTATGAATCAGAACTAGTGGATAATCAATTAAATCTTGATTGTTTGTATAAAACGGGCATCAAATCATAAAAAAATCAAATGGATTATAATTGTTGAATTTTGAATGGCCGACCTCTTGATGAAAGTATCAATGGTGGCGATGATGATACTGGTGAGGTTGAATCAATCATGATCGAGAAATAGAAAATATGGGCCATCAGATGACGAAAAGGATGTGAAGATAAGTATGGTTTTTTAATTTTAAGGAAATGTTGGATAAATTTGTATTTTGAATTTTAAAGTGAAAATAATCCTTTATGGGTTTGTTTAAGAAGGATGTAGTTGTTCATCATTTTATAGAGTTATTTCAAGAGAATATTGATAGGAAATACTTGAGTTCGCAAGTAACCCTAAGGTAATACTTGAGTTCGCAAGCAAACCTAACCAAGATTAGTACGAAAAGAAGAGCAAAACTGCTATTTACAGCGGAAAAAACAGCAAAAACAGTGGAAATCCGAGAAGAAACTTGTAGAAAATCAAGGCAAACACTTGTATTCCAATAAGAAAGGAAAAGCACTTGCAAGATACAACTTTCCTTCAATTAGAGAGGAAGGAAAAACTCTCCCACTATCTCCGGCAAAGCCAAGAGTCCAAGAACACCACACCCTAGATCTCAAAACTCATCCAAATGCAACATAATCCCCCCTCCTCCTTCTAACCTCCTAATTAACCCTAAAGGAGTTTTACAAAATGTCTAAACAGCCCCTCGCATTCAAAATTTCCCTCCCAAAAATCCTCCCTGGCCCCCGTCGGCTTCGCCGCTTGCGCTCGGTTCCGCCTGTTTCGTGCGGTTCCGCCGCGAGTAGACCCGGACCGGTCCCGGTTGGACCGGTCCAGCCGGCCCCTCCTGGGCCGGTGTAACAAATATACGGTGAAATTCAAATTAATTATTGTTGTAATTGCCAATATATATAGGCTTGACGTCTTCCATTTAATTCAACTCCAGATTCTCCCATATTCTCTTTCTTTACCTCTCCCTCTCTAATATCTATGGCCTCCTTAACGGATTACTAGCCACCAAATTTCATTACTCCTGTATAGTCGACTAACTACAACATATCGTCCTACACCTTTCAATTGACCTGCTCTTGTCGATAGGCCTTTTCCAGTTGACCCGCCAATATTTTATTACTCTAAACCTACGCCGTCAACATATATCCCAACATGTTCATTCTTTGTTTAGTTGGCCAAAGCAAGTTCGCAAGGCCTTGCCCAATTAGGCATCCTACCCAAGGTCATTTCTAAACTCTAAAAGAGCTAAGCCTCTAGTTAAGTTTTTTTTTAATGATTATGAAAGATTTGATGCAAGTAGAAAAAATAATGAATGTTTGAATAAATATTTTATTAGAACATATAAATTATTCTCTTTTAAAAGTTAAATTCCTTTATCAAGTATAAGGCTTAAAGAATTTTGAGAGGTGCCACCTCCATATACAAGTGTGAGGCTTGCTTTTCTAGTGATTTCTTCTCCCTTCATCTTCTTTTCTCCTCTATTTTCACCTACTATGTTTCGTTATTATCGGTTGAAATCAGATTCAGATTCACAATAATCTAACTATTACAGTTGCATGAAATTTTAACCCCGAGCTAAACTTTCTTGATCCTAAATTCAAGTCATTAATTTTGTGTATGATGTCAAATATCCTTCATTTGAGCTATGTTCTTTTATTTGCCTGTTTTACTTAAGGTAGTCAATTGTTATTTTGGATTAATAAGTTGTGTTCTATGAAATTTTATGTGGTTATGATAGGAATATGATATCCACATAGTCAAAAACAACAATAACGAAGAGAAATCGCAGCAGAAATCAACGAGAAATAATGAGATTATGGGCTAATTTTATTGATATCGGCACAACAAACCACGATACAAGTTAATCTACCATTCGAGAGTTAGATCGACTCTCTACAAACCCTAGGCGCAACTAGAAACTCCAAAGAAAACTACTGCAAAACACAAAATTCTCTAATGAAAATAAAACAACCTAATTAATCCCAACTAAACCTTTATAATCCCCTACCGAATATGAATTCAAATCAATCCTTTAATTTTCCCTTTACAAACCTTTGTAATTCCCTCCCAATTTTTGATTTTATATGATAAGTAATTAAAGATGGAATTAATATCATCGGAGCCCCCCCTCTGTCCTTGCCCGCCGCCCACACTAGTGAGACCCAAAGGGCTCTTCTGTGCGCCAGCCAGACAGGTCCCCCTTGCTAGGTCTGGGTTGATTGGATGGACCGGCTCAGCCGATCTATCAATAATTTTCAGCCAAGGAGCCACATGTTTCTCAACGTGGAACGAAGGAAACTGTTGTCGAATCATCCGATACGGTTCCCATGTTGCTTCATAATTGAGCAGATCCTTCCACTCGATCAGCACTTCCCTAACTCCTTCGGTTGTCGAGCGAACTCCTTTCACTTCCATTGGCTCCTGGATCATCTCCATTTCTTCTACATGGTCATCGGCAGCGTCACTGATGGACTATTGTCACCAATTACTTTCCTCAGTAGGGACACATGGAATACTGGGTGTATGGTTGAAGTATGGGGTAGCTGCAAATGACACACCACGATACCAATCCTCTTCACAATCTCATAAGGCTCATGGTACCGTGGAGATAACTTTTCATTTCTTCTTCGAGCTAAGGTATTCTGTCTGCAGGGTTGAATCTTCAAATACATCTTATCACCCACCTCGAATTGCACATGCCTTTTATGCCATCACCTGCTTCTTCATAATTTATTGTGCCTCGATAAGTGCCCCTTTAGCTCTCCCAATATCATATCCCGTTCTTCCAACTACTGTTCACCTCATGAAACTAGAGTACTCTTGGTCCCGTAGTATACCAAGTGAGGAGGATCGCTACCATAAAGGATTTTAAAGGGTATACTTTGTGCTGCACTATGGTATGATGTATTGTATCAGTACTCAGCCCAAGGCAACTACTTCAACTAGGTCTTGGGTGTTTCTGATACAAAACATCTCAAATAAGTCTCAACACTCCTGCTCATCACCTCGGTCTTCCCATCAGTCTGTGGATGGTATGTTGTATTTCTCGTCAAAATGATCCCAAGCATCATGAATAACTCTCTCTAAAAGTGGCTCAGGAATACATACTTTCAATCTAACACTATGGACTCCATAATTTCACATAGGCAGAACACCTCTAGATACTACCATAGGAATGGTTAAACCATGTCTAGTGCTTCTATCTTCTCCCCATCTTCTTCTTCTTCCAAACACTGCAGCTCCACCAAAAATCTCACTCCTTCACCTTGGATTTCCCTTACTATAGTTTTGAATGAAAACATAGTTTTGAACAAGCTAGGATCCCCCTTAATAACCACTATTCTCCCATCAACCTTAAACTACATCGTTAGGGCCTTCCAATCAATATTGGTCTTCCCCAACTTCTGCAGCTAATTCATTCCCAGTATCACGTATATGCTCCCCAAATCCAATGATAGAAAGTCTTCCAATACATGAACCTCTAGAAGGATTAGGATAACCCTTTTACAAATTTCTCTACTCTCAACTTTTCTTGTTTTCAGCATAACCCCAAAGCCCCCAATATCCACTAATTTCAATCCCAACTGATCCACAATCCTGTTGGAAATAAATTTGTAGACAGGTTTGATGTATGATCTTCCCCTTAACTTTAACCTTCATAGTGTGGTTCGGTATGAACCTGACCACTGAGTTAATGGATACCTTTGCAATATTTAAGTGCATGTGATCATCTCTCTCCTCTACTACCTCCTCCACAGCATCTTCCTTCTCATCGCAAACTATTAGGACCTGTAACGAATGGTCCTCACAATGATGGTCTGGAGCGAAGTTCTCATCGCACCTAAAGCATAAACCATTGGCCCTCTTCTCTTCAATTTCTGACTCAGTCAACCTCTTGAAGTTCCCCTTGGTCGTACTCCATAATCTTTATCCCTCGATGCATCCTTCTGAATAGGCACTGTCTGCACCTTTAGTGTCAAAAATGTAGTGGTTGTGCAATAAAAGACACCTGAACTGCTGCTACGGCTACTCCTCTCCAAGGAGTTCTTATTCTCCACCAGCTGGACTAACTCCATAGCCTCCCCTAAGCCACGTGGTATTTATGCTCAAACAGTTGCTCGAATATCAAGCTTCAGCCCTTTCATAAAGTCTCTGAAAACATTCCCAATCAACTTAAAGTACTCAAACTTCTCCCTGTACTCTATCACAGTTCCCTCCTGCATCATAGCAAATAACTATTCATAAAAGTCTCATTCTCGACTGGTTCGAAAATGTTCTAGTAAACAGTCTTTGAACTCCATCCATGATCGCAACGATTCTTGCAAGTCTCTCCACTAATACTAGGGCAGATCCTTCCCCTCCAGAATATCGCTCCACCTATAAATTCATCCGTGAGCATCTTCTTCCTAAAAAACTAGTATCTTCAAATTTTTCACCTTAGGATCACAACCGTCCCAATTGCTTTTCCTCCTTCGAATACCTCCCCCCCCCCCCCCCCCCCTCTCCCTCCATGCCCATTGCCCACACTAGTGGGGCTCTTCCGCCTGTCAGCTAGACCGGCTCCCTTGCTAGGACAGGTTGATTGGACAGATCGGCTCAACCAATCCATCAAGTTATTGCATTATTGTTTGCATCACATATTAGATCTATCTTAAATCTCAGTCATATTTAGCCAGAGTGATGGGGAAATCAGAGCATGAATCGCATTTCAGATGCATGGCCGTCGATCTACGGCCACGATCGCGTAGATGTATTTTGAGTTATTTCATGTATTTATTTTATTATGTTATTTGTCTTTTATTATTATTTAAGTTTTTTTCCATTTTTACCCCTTACTTAAAGGGAGGTCGTATGTAAGCCCTGAGGGCAGAGTTGTCTTTTATTTTGAGTCTTATATACGAGGCTATTTATAGCCCCTATGTTCTCTTTGAAAATTAATGAATGAATATTATGAAAATTTCTTGCACTTGTGTGTTTTGAGAGAGTTTGAGAATTCTTGGAGAGAGCTTTGGAGAAATCCCTAGGGAGGGAAAACGGATCACCCACCAACCTGGAGACGGCCGGGTTCGTGGTTTGTTTTATCATTCTTTCCTTTTCAATTTCTCTTCCTCCTAGTCGTCGGATCTCCTAGCCCCCCACTTGCCACTGGTCAACGGTTTCCACCACCACCACCTCAAGCCACCTAATTCCCCACCAACCCCATCGGTTTCACCCCAACACCACCTAACCACCGGCCTCCACATCCGGCCCGAGCATGCCACTGGCCCCTAGCTTTCCTCCTTCCCTTTGAGTTATTGCCTATTTTAGATTGATGTAATTTGGGGCAGATTTTGAATTCAAATTCATCCAATTTGAAATTAAAAATCTTTCCTAAATTACTAAATCTATCTTAGAAAAGTTTCCTAAATTAAATCCTATTTGAATCTCAAATCAATTAGGATTTAATTCCAACTTTCCTAAATTCTAAATCTTAAAATAGCAACTCAAATCTCTCCCACAAATCCTTCCTAGTCCATTCATGCCGCAGTCCCCAAATCATTAAATCCAATTGGATTTATTTCCAAATTCCCTCACCCTCCTTGTTTAATCCCACTTAAGTTTGGAAAATATTTGAATGTGAACAAATCATGTTTAGATTTCAAATCTTTCCTATTTCCTCTTAATCCTATTTTTGGAAGGTCCCAATTGAGATTGCAATCACCTTAAATCTGAGATTAAATCTTAGATTTAATTCTCAATTATAATTAATGCCTTGGTCTACATTCATTGAATGCAGACACAATCTTCCCATCTCTCTCTTGGCCGGTTCCATGCGCCATCCCCCTAATTAATTTTCTTTCCAAACCTAAGCCTAAATCAAAGGGGATTAACTCCTGCTTCCCTCCACTGCTGTCCAAACAATTCCCTATCATACCCTTCAAGCTCACGTGCATCCAGAAGGAGGAAATCCTGAAAGTTTCCTCTCCAACTGGCTGTCCAGATTTCTGGACAGATTCTAGTGGCTGTCCAGTGAAGAACAGAGAGCTGTCACAGAGATTCCAGCTGCCCATCTTGCTGTCCAGTAGTTCTTGGATGCTAGCAGAGGCTGTCCACCCTTCCTAACCCCGGAAAACTGCTGTCCAAGGCCACCTGTCTGCTGTCCAGTGTTTCCAGCAGAAGTTCCCTGCTGTCCAGCCCTTTGGGGAGCCACAGTCACTGTCAGAAACTGTCCGGAATTGCTGTCACAGGGTGGCTACTTGTTGTCCAAAGGTTCGAGCTTGATTACTGTTGTCTGAGTCATACACAACGCCACCAACTACTGTCCAAGCTTGTGAGAAAGTTGAACCTTCAAGAGAGTGTTAGACCGGTCCACTGGACCAGTCCAGGCGGGACCGGTTCGGGGGCGAAGTCGCAAAACAGGCGGAGTTTCCGCCAGAACGAGCGACCGACCGCTCATATAGAGCGTTTTAGGAAGGATTTTTTGGGGGTTTCAGAGAGAAATTTGAATGTAGGGACTGTTTAGGGAATTCCTTTTGATTTGTATGCATTAAATATATGTTTTTCCTAGGGTTAGGGGATCTTGAATTTGGCTGAAATTTGAGATCTCGTAGATTTAGGTTTTCTTTGGGCTCTAGCGGCGTCTAGAGATTTGGGAGAGATCGATCCTCCTCTCGAATTGAGGATCAATTGTATCTTGCTATTTTATTCTTCTACTAGTAAAATACAAGCTTTTCTTCCAATTTTCTCTCAGCTTTTTCCTGTTTTTCCCACTGTTTTGCTGTTTTTCCTGCTGTGAACAGCAGTTTGCATCGAGATTTGCTGTAGAAGTGATTTGGAAATACTTGAAATCAAGTATTTCCTATCAGAGAGCTACAACAAACTTCTTCAACATCTCGCTACTTGTTACCGGGTTTTGATAAGGGTGAACTTCTTCCCCTTTTTATTTACTTCTCTAATCCCCCTAATCTTGTAGGTGATGGATATTCACAAGGAGCCGAGCTTCACCTTTGCCTAAGCTTAGTAAACGTAGGATTTTGTTTCGCCGTTGCCAAAGCTTAGTAAACGTAGGATTGAGTGCTTTGTTTGCTTCTAATATAATTGTTAGATTAGGGATTTTTGTTGAAAACTATTTACTTTGCATGTTATTGAATTTCTACTTGTTTTGAATCTCCAAGTGTTTGGCATGTGGCTTAGCCTAAGCGTAGGCACCCCTCTTTTGTTTTTTATCGTTGTTTTGATTGCTAATAGTGGTAATCTTACGGGCTTAATTCAAGAACTTGTGCAAATTCTTATTTCATTCCTTTAAGGCATTTAATTCTACATCACAGAGTCTTGGCCAATCCAAAATCCTAAGACTTTTTATATCATTGAGATAATCACAAATTAATTATAAGATTGAAATGGGCATTGGGCTCTAATTAACGGATGAAACTCCCACTAAAGAAGGGTCTGAGGAGTTATAAGTATGTAATCTTAATCCGAATATTGTAAAAAGATAATTTATGTGACTAAAACATAAGACCTAGGCCGCAATGAAGGTAAATTAAGCATTACTCCAATCATGTATGTCATAAGAATGTAATGCAACTCTAGGAAAGAAAGTCTTTCAACTTTTAGCCTGTGATAATATGGACATTTTCATCTTTTACAATTTAGCAAGTAAAACCTTTCCATGTTAAATAAATGATCACTATTAACTTCATCCCAATTATGTGGAGTAAACTTTATGAAGCCCATTCCTCGTTTATCCTCGTTGATGCTGCATTATATGAACATCTTCTTCATCATAAAAATAACAAACTTCTCATATGCACCAATTATATACAGCAACTTTCTTAAATTGCCAAAAACTTATAGCTAATGATAAGGTAGCATGAATCATGATGATAAAATAACAAAAATGTATCAACCTTATTACTTAATCTTGGAGAAGTAGGTGAGTGCCATGTGATATTACTCATCGTTTGGCAGTGTACAAAGCAGGAGTTGATAAACATGCCCCCCTTTTTATTTCGCTGGAATTTGTTCAAGGAATCAAGCAAACTTTTCCTAAAACCTGTGGAAACATAGATGTGCTTGAATTCCAAAGTTAATAAATAACACAAAGATAGCTCTTGCATTATATGCATGCTCTAAGCTCACTACCATGCAAGATTTCAATCTGGTTAGAATTACAGTAGCGAATATTCATCGTGCACCTCCTCCATTGTCCTCCAGGATCAGATTCTAATGGTGCCAAAATATGTTGAATCTGAAAAGGTAAAAAATGGTTTTGAAGGGTGTGCATTCCAGGAATCAGGCATCACAAATAAAAGGGAATATCAATTATAAGCACTTTACCTGCCAAAAATCATAAGCTGGGTTGAGAATAAAAAGCGGTGTATTTATTCTTTTGATAAGCTCGTGAGGAAAGAAGCACTGACATTTAAAACATAATAACCAAAACTGAGAATTTTGAGCACCATAATCAACAAAAGACAATAATTAATCAATTAGCTAATGACAGTATAAGTGTATAACAACAAGTAAAGATGATAGAAGGTATGCCTGGGGCGGCTCTATAGCTGTGACGCAATCATTAGGCAAACTTTTTGCAACACCCTGAGAATAAAATTGTCATGACGGGAATGAGCAAGAAGGAAAATTGCTGCTTCTTTTTTTTTTCAATGGACATCAGATCTAGTATAGCATAAAAAGTGAACAAACCCATGGACATCGGATCTAATCATCAAGCATAAAAAGTGAACAAACCTGGAGATGGACAACTTCATTAAAAAAAGACCGAACGGTTTCTTTTCCAGAAATGTCTTTTCTGAAAAAAGAGACCAGTCGAGAAAAAAAAAAGAAGACAGTAAATTCAAAATAACTAAAATTCTTAAGACTAATGGTAAAAACCATTGAGAGGAAAAAATTCAGAAAATGAAAGAATTTGCTAACAAAAAACTTACTCATCAAGGAAAAAGCCAGCATCTGCAAGGCATTTGACCGTGGCGTCCTTTGGCAAACGGTTGCGGAAATTATCACAATGTATGAAGGTAGCAAGACCACCAGCAGAACATCCTGTCAGAAAAGCCTGTAGACTGTAAGAATGTATTAGGCTTGTTTAGGATAACTTCACCATTTTTTTCAAAGGAAAACTGTTAATAAAAATAGTGTTTGTTATTGTTTTGGATGGCAGCAACCATCGGTAAAATTAGTTGTGGAACTATTGTGAGAAATACAAAGTTTTTGAAATTGTGGATATTATAGACATTTTTGCTTTCTAGAAACTTGAAAAACAGTTTCCTTACAGCTACAATACACTAGAATGTCTAGTTGTGAACAGCTACTTATCATTAAAACAATTTTTTAAGAACAGCAAGTTGTAGCCAAAAAGATAGGGTTGCAGCAATCTGTAAATTAAAGCTGTGAAAAGCTTCCCCAAGCACACCCAAGAAAATTGTCCAGTTTTTTTCTTGCTTTTTTCAAAATTCACTTTAGAAAATATAATTTTATAATTTTGGGGAGGCAAAATAAAAATTTTGGTTGAAAGTTGCCCAAATGAAGCCTTAATGTTATGAAATAATTAAATAAAAAGATGGTGAGAGCACTTGAAGGTAACATACAACAACAACAACATCAAACCTTTATCCCACTATATAGGGTCGGCTACATGAATCATTTATCTCCATTGTGTATGTTAAGAGTTAAATTATCATTTAAATCTAATAAAGAAATGTCATTTCTAATTTCTAACCAAGTCTTTTTAAGTCTACCTCTACATTTCTTAAAATAAGTCAAATCTAATACATCTATTTTCCTAATTGGGTCATTGAAAGGCCATCGTTTTATGTGACCAAACCATCTAAGGCAACTCTCTCTAATCTTATCTTTCACTTGAGCTACTCTAACCTTTTCATGTATATGCTCATTTCGAATCCTGTCTCTAAGAGTAAAGCAACTCATCCACATGAGCATCCTCATCTCTGCAACACTTAATATTATGCTTCTCTTTTAATTGCCAACATTCTACACCATAAAACATTTTAGGTCTCACCACCATCTTATAAATTTTCCCTTAAGTTTGAGGGGTACTTTTCTATCACACAACAAGTCAGACGCATTCCTCCCCTTGAACAATCCAATTTGAATTCTACTAATAATATATCCTCATCTATTTCACCATCACTTTGAACAATAGACTCAAGACATCTAAAATGTGTACTCTCATTAATGACGTGATCGCCCAACGTCACAATCCCCTCACTAGATCTATTACTACTAAAATTATACTCCATATGTTCAATTTTAGATCTACTCAAAACAAAACCTTTAGACTCTAAGGTTGACCTCCACAATTCAAGTTTACTTCAACTCCCACTCTAATCTAATCAACAGGAAGAAGATCATCAGCAAAAAGCATACACCAAGGTACCGTTGACCTTCGTTTTGACATGAAATCACTCAGTAATTTGAGTAATTTCTTTACGTAATTATATTTTGGAAAATAAAATTCTGATGAGATAGAATATTTATTGCATTCATTAAATATAGCTTTTTTATGTAATAATTACATTCATTTGTTAGCAGTGGGAATGAATGTCAATCTTATACTAAACAAATCATAGGATGTTCTTATGTTGATTATAATATACATGAATGACATCGATTTTGTTCGTGAAGAAGTTAATTGTCAAATTCTAACACATATCTCTCTCTTCATGTTATTTGCAAGGAAATGTGGAGATACTTGGACAGTTAGCTTGGGCTTCCTCCTCCCTCCATCTCGCCTTTGCAAGGTGAGAACAAATCGGCTTGCACCATTGACTTACTCCGATGAGGAAAACTACCTAAAACTTAGAGCCCCTAGGTTTCAAAGCCTTGCATGTGTATAGGATCCCCTAAACTTTAGGTTCTTGTAGAAACGCTGCATTTCATTTTCCAAGCCCGATAACTAGCTAGTGAGTAGAACTTTACTCGTTAGTAACAAGCTTAAGAATACGTAGCTTTGATTTATTACCCACATTTAGCATTTTTCCTTTGATTTTCATGAATCATGATGTGTATAATAAAGTAAACTGGTTAATACAACAACAACATCATCAAGCCTTTATCCCACTACGTGGGGTCGGCTATATGAATATTTTTTCTCCATTATGTCCTATTAAAAGTCAAATTCTCGTTCAAATCTAATAAAGAAATGTCATTCCTAATATTTTCTAACCAAGTCTTTTTAGGTCTACCTCTACCTTTCTTAACATAAGTCAAATCTAATACCTCTACTCTCCTAACTGGATCATCGGAAGGCCGCCGTTTTATGTGACCAAACCATCTAAGACGACTCTCTCTAATCTTATCTTCTACTTGAGCTACTCCAACCTTTTCACGTATATGCTCATTTCGTATCCTATCTCTAAGGGTAAAGCCACTCATCCACCTGAGCATCCTCATCTCTGCCACACTTAACTTAGTATTATGCTTCTCTTTTAATAGCCAATATTTGGCACCATAAAGCATTGCAGGCCTCACCGCCATCTTATAGAATTTTCCCTTAAGTTTGAGGGGTACTTTTCTATCACACAACAAGCCCGATGCATTCCTCCACCTCAACCATCCAACTTGAATTATGCTGATAATTTCCACATTTATATCACCATCATTCTGAATAATAGATCCAAGATATCTAAAATGTGTACTCTTATTAATGACTTGATTGCCCAAAGTCACAATCCCCTCACTAGGTCTATTATTACTAAAATTACAATAGATCCAAGATATCTAAAACGTGTACTCTTATTAATGACTTGATCGTCCAAAGTCACAATCCCCTCACTAGGTCTATTATTACTAAAATTATACTCCATATATTCCGTTTTAGATCTACTCAAGCGAAAACCATTATACTCTAAGGTTGACCTCCATAATTCAAATTTACCTTCAACTCCCTCTCTAGTCTTATCAACAAGAAGAATATCATCAGCAAAAAGCATACACCAAGGTACATCCTCTTACAAATGTCTAGTGAAAGTAAACAGGTTATAATCCAATATAATTAAATCAAATTTATCAAGATTAAATAAATGAAAGATATTGATTAATTTAAATAAGTTTTAAAAAATATAATCTAAATAAATTAAAATAAAGTGAATAAGATAAAAATCAATAAAAATTAAATAAGAATAAAATAAAACTCCAAAATAAAATAAAATAATTAAATGAAATTAATTAAAACTTATTTAAAATTAAAATAAATTATTAAAAATTTAAATAAAACTAAATGAAAACCATCAAATAACAACAACAAGCCTTTATCCCACTATGCAGGATCGGCTACATGGATCCTTTTTCTTCATTGTGTCATGTTAAGAGTCAAATTCTCATCTAAATCTAATAAATAATAGTCATTTATAATATTTTATAAAGAAGTCTATTTAGGTCTACATCTACCTTTCTTAACATAAGTTATTCTAATACATCTACTTTCCTAACTGGGTCTGGAAAGGCCGTCGTATTATGTGACCAAACCATCTAAAGCGACTCGCTCTAATCTTATCTTCCACTGGAGCTACTCCAAGCTTTTCACGTATATGCTCATTTCATATCATGTCTCGAGTAAAGCCAATCATCCACCTAAGCATCCTCATCTATGCAACACTTAATTTAATATTATGTTTCTCTTTTAATGGCCAACATTCTGCACCATAAAGCACTACAGATATCATTATCATCTTATATAATTTTTCCTTAAGTTTGAGAGGGATTTTTCTATAACACAACAAGCCCGATGCATTCCTCCACTTCAACCATCCAACTTGAATTCTATTAATAATATCCTCATCTATTTCACCAACATTTTGAACAATAGACCCAAGATATCTAAAATGTGTACTGTTACTAAAGACTTAATCGCCCAAAGTCACAATCTTCCCACTAGATCAATTATTACTAAAATTATACTCCATATATTCATTTTAGATCTAATCAAACGAAAGCCTTAAGACTTTAAGATTGACCTCCATAATTCAAGTTTATTATCAACTCCCTCTCTAGTCTTATTAACAAGAAGATGGGGAGGATGAGGAGTAAACACCACAATGAGGAAACAAGCAAGAAAGTAAAAGCAGTGGAAAAGTAAAAGACACCAAGATTTAACGTGGAAAAACCCAAAATATGGAAAAAAAATCACGGAGACACACCACCCCAAGAAATCCATTATGAAAATTTGGAGAAATAAGTACAAGCTCTCTTCTCTCTCACTCTCTCCTTGCTTCATTTCTCACATACATTGTTCTCAATATATACTACTCAAAAAATAAGAGAAAGGCAGGTAAAATAACCTCAAGGGATGCAACCCTTTAGAAAAAAGGGAAAAAAACTGTCTAGTCTGTTTTACAATGCTACGGTGCTAGTTTAGGGTGTTGCGGAGCTGAAGCCTCTGTCTTTGCACTTGAAGCCAAGCAGGGGTCCCCCCCGGGGGCCCCCCCCCCCCCGCGTACACAACAAGCTTTGAGGTCCGAGATAACAGAATAACTAGATTGATCAACATAATCAAATTCCACACATAATACGAAAAGCATACACCATAGTACAACATGCAAATGTCTAGTGAGAACATTCATAAATGAAGCAAAAAATATATGGGCTTAAGCCTAGTCCTTAATGTAATCCAACTGAAATAGGAAAATACTTTGCCAAACCACCTTCTGATTGAATACAAGTAACAACTCCTATATAGAAAACCATCAAACAAAAAATAAATTTCAATTAACTTGAATTAAATTTTGATTATTAATTCAATTTAACTTGGTTTAATTAAATAAATTTATTAATTAAAAAATATTAAATAATTAATTAAAGGACCACCATACTTTATATTTGATTTATTTGGAGAACATAATAGCATTGAATTCTAAGAGTCCTTAACCAATTTTAAATTACAAAAAACTCTTATGCATTGTATTTAACTTCATTTGAAAGATACACATGCATTAAATTTGGGCAATATTTAATAAATTTTAAATAAACTAAAGACTTTTATGCATTGTATTCACTTCCTTTAGGAAGACACAATTGTATTAAATTATATTGAATAAA